TGCTCGTGTTGGGAGAAACCTTCTGCCTCAGCCATAACTCGCCTGTATGGCCTGGTGTGGCTGTTTCTGGGACGGGAATAAGGAGCTAGATGTTTCATCAAGTAAATAATCTCAGCGGAATGAAGGGGAAACCCGTGAATTATCCAGTCTCAGCCAAATCTTTCTTCCCAGGATAGGGGCAGGTCCACATTCTGAAAGGGAATTTTGTGCCGACCAGGTCTGTCTTTAGGAAGAAATAGGGGTGGGGAAGCAGTCTCTGAGAAACTTAACCTCTCGTAAATAGTGGGTTTCCTTTAGGTCCAGATCTGTCCCCCTCCCCACCCACGGGCCAATCACAAAAACTGCCTGACAGTCAATCCAGAGAGCAAGCTGGAAAGACAGCACTGTTTTCTGGACCGCAGTTATCTCTGCTGACTTCTCTTGGCCTGGAACATTTCTCGGTGCGCTCTGTACCCGCCGGGTTGGGCTTTCTCGACGCCTCCAGTCAGCTCATTCCCGCTCCCACACACCTCTTTTCTATTGAAGGGTCCCGAGACTTTGGAATTTCAACAGAACTAACGGGGAAACTTGTGGCACCCTGAAGGGTACCGTATTTATCCTGGCAGAAGCTTTCTGAACCGCCTGGGAAAGCTTCGGTCAGAATTAATATCTTCGTCTTTAAGATGCCGCAGGACTCCACTTCCTTAGCGCTGCAGAAATCGCAAAGCGCCCTTCCCTGCTGCACGCGCCCTGTCCTCCGCTGCTGCTTACTCGGGAGTAAGTCCTCTGAGCTGCTCTGTTGACCGGAGGAGGGACAGATGACCGGGCAGAGAGAGGTCTGCCCTTTATTACCACGGCAGAGACCACTCCAGACCGCTTCCCGGGTCCGGCCCGCCTGCCTCCTCGCCTCCCGTGGTGCTTCCAAGGATGCACCCAAAGCTGCACATTCCGATGAAGCCTGGCTGGCCGAGGCAACCCCTTTTACGTGATTAGGGGACCTCCCAGCAGCCGCAGCAGGTCAACGCTCAGCTTTTTGTCCCAGGGAGGAGCCCGCTGGGTGTCGTGCTGACCTTCAGCTTCTGAGGGCCATCTGGGAAAGGCTGGCCGGCGGTGGCTGCAAAGGGAGCCTAAAAGGCTGGGCGCGGAGTTAAGGAGGAGCTGGCCCGGCTTCCGGGAGAAGCCCTGCAAAGGCGAAGGATAAGGTGCAGGTGTCTTCCGCCAACTAGAGGAGCAACACTTAGCTCAGCCCTCTCCGACTCGGACCCTCCAGAAGGGTTGGACCAGAGTTCCCACCGTTTCCCAGCGGCACAGGGGAATCTCTCCGGACGTGTCGGGTTACTAATTCCGGAATATTTTTGGAAGGGGAAGGCTGAGAAAAGTCTTGGAAGGAAGCGGATGGGAGGGCTCGAGCCGATTAAAGCTGATTAAAGCTGCGATCTCCGCGGGTCTCGAAAGTTAAGTCCCATCGAGCCTCAGATAAAAAAGTCTAGAGTTGCAGCTTCCGAGGACAGTTACGTGTCAAGCAGAACCGGGTACAAATCTCAGCCAGACCAAGCCGCCGGCGTGGCGTTCCTTCCCCGCCTCCCCCTCCTGGCCGTATATGGTGGAGGTAATCACCTCGGCCTCCCTTACAGGGTTGTTCTAAGGATCGGAAAAGGGCGAAGGAACGGGACTGTTCCCTCCAAGTCCTACAGCGCAACCGCTGCTTGGCAAGTTGGCCGCTCCCCTTTCGGTCGAGCCTGGGGCACGAATCCCGCTCCGATGGTCGTTTCTAGTTCTGAGAGTCGTGCTAATACTGGCATAATACTGAATTACGTCAGGAAACTGGGGTTCTGTTAACCATAGAATAGCGAACCACGTGTCGTGCGAACCACGTGTCGTGTTCTTTGTAAACTTATGGAAGGTTTATGCAAGAAGAGCAATTCAAGTTGCCTTCCTCAATTTAGCCCCTTTCGGGCTGTTGGAAGTATAAGACTTGGGATTCCCGGCCAGCCTGCCCGGGGAGGATTCTGGAGGTTGTCCTTCATTCCAGCACATGTGGCGGGTCCAGGTTGGGCCAGGCGCAGCTAGCAAGAGCCCGAGGTGCGGGGTTGCTTGCCGGTCTTCGCCAACCGCCCCACAGCCAGCTCTTCCTTCGCTCTCGGGGAAGCCGGGAGACTTCTCCCGCACTGCCCACCGGACCGGAGGAGTTTCTCGAGCTTCCGGGCGTTTAGAGCCTTTCCCCCGCCGACCGTTGTGCGTAAGGAGCGTTAAACACACCGCGCTGGCCCACACGGAGCGCCCCAAGGGCCCAACCTGCCAGCAAGCGAGTGGAAGCCTTTCACAGCTGAGTTCCCCGAGGCCCCTTGACCTCCCTGACTACTGACCAACTTCTGAGTAACTCTACGGCCATTTGAAACGTCCAGCCCGCTCCCAAAGGCGGCTTGGCTTACTCTTCGAGTGCCGGTGCCGCGGGGCCTCGGGACCGCTCTGCTCTGGGCGAATCCCCCACCCACTCGGCGTTCCCGTCCTCTTCCTGCTGGTGCCATCTCCGGAATCTCCAGATGACGCGGCCAGGTATCGACTCCGCATCCCCAACCTGACGTCCTCTTCTGTTTTAGACCACAACCCCTCCGGGTTCCAGACCAAGGGAAGGGATTGTGGGAGGCCCCGCCCCAAACACCAGGAGGCAGCCGTTTTGCCAGCTCCTGCCCAGCTTATCCTCTGGTTGCCCCAGCGGGGGAGAAGCCTTTCGCTGGAGGCAGGAGCGCGGCTGTCGCAAGAAGACTTTGGAGGACCGTTAGGACCGTCAACAGGCACCTGCTTGCTGGGGATCCCGGACCGGACAGCCAATATGCGATCGGCTTTCCAAAGAACCGACCAGCGCCTGGGCGGAGAAGCTGCCCAAGAGATGTCCTTCTGTTCGACGGTCAGCCTCCTGCTTCTCCAGCAACTACTCCGCAGCGGCATGGGCACCTGTCCCTCCCTCTCTAAGTGCAGGGACAGAAAATCAGGCTGTTTCAAAACTTCAGGCAAGAAGCCAGCCAGTCCATCCGCGGTACTTTCCCCAGGACAGGCAGAAATGCGTCCGATGCAGCCCCTCTTTATTGTTTGCGTATGCTAGTGAAGGTTATGCATGCTGTGCACAGGAATCCGACCTGCAAGAAAAAAAAAGCAAGCTTCCGTTTTGGAAAGGCCAATGGGGTTTGCTCGCGAAGCCTCTTTTCCACCCTGTCAAACTAGTGCCAGAAACTATCGCGATCCGGGAGGGAGATCCGCCAGAGAAGCCTTTACTGTGGCCTCAAGCCCCTTTAGGCTTGGGGTCGGGGGGCTTCTTTCATTTCCACCCTCAGTGATAGTCCCCTACCCCACAAAGTGGTTGAGCTGGGACAAGAAGATCTCCTACATTCATCCCGTGAATTCTAACCCTGGAGGAAGCCCCAGGGAAGTCTGACCCGGAGGGATCGCCCTCAGGTTGAGTTCTACGGCTGTTCCTGCTTACTGGAGAACAACATCCCCAATCGAGTGCTGGAGGCTGCGCGTGTTTGGCGGAAACGGGAATCGAAGGGAACTGCAGTCCTTTGCAGAGTTAAGGGGCAACTCCAAAAGCTGTTTTTCCCGCAGAAATCGGGGTTTGGCGTCCTCGCATTTAGCGCCGCCGCCGCCGCGGAACCTTTCAGCAATTGGAAGGGCTCAGTAGAAAAAATAGCCCAGGCAAGCCAGCGATGGGAATGAAAGCAGCGCAGCCTCGAGGGCTTCCCCCCTCCCGGGGCTGGTCATAACTTCGTTCGCGGATCCCCGCGCTGCTCCTCTATTTCACTGGCAGCTCCCTGAGGCGGTGGGGCTTGAACGAGGCTGTGATCTAAACAGACTGCCCGGGGCAGCGACGAATATGCCTTTCTCCAAGGAAGCCGCCCGCCCAGCTGATTTCTTGTCTGCCGGATTCTGGCTGTGCTCTTGGGATCCGCAGAGAATAACAACCGATCCCGCCCCCCCCCCCTC